CCTTGCGCCCTGCCGAAGATACAATACTGAGATACCCAGAAAGGGAGAAAACCCCCTCGCGTCCCGTAGCAGAACGGCCTCTAGCACAGGCTTTGCACGATGTCTAATGCGCCCAGCGCGCGGGAACTCCCACCAACGACCTCTGCGCGGGGACGGCGTCCCAGCCACAGCCGCCAACGCACCTCGCTCAAACGAATTCTTGATGTCGTTGACTTCCACCTGGGAGCCAGGAACTCTGAAAATGCCCTGCTGCTGGAGGCCTGCAAAGGAACGGCGTTTTAGCAAAGGTTCGCAGAACCGTTGCACAGTGCTTGCTGCTAAAGAGCAGCAGAAACCAGGAGCCACGGCACCTGGTGAGAGGGGCTCGGGGGGACACACGACACCCCGCTACGATTCATTTCTGCTCACATTCTCCAGTCAAGGCCCCCCCAGATCAAAGCACTGGAAGGGCTCCCGTTGGCCTGGGGCCTGAGCGAACAATTTCCCCTCAGTCAGTGCTAACCAGACCCAAATATTTGCCAGCATCACGGTCCGTGCCACTGCAGCTCTGACCTGAGCCATGCAGCAGGGGCGGCGGGCACCTCTGCTGCATTTCACTGCCGACGACCAGGACTTCGTTTCCTCTGCAGGAAGTTCCTGCTGGCTCTGCTCAATCAACTTACCGTACAAATTGATGTAACGAATGCAGCTTTCGACTACGAGCGGAATAGCCTGTCCCGAGTCCTTCACAAAAGGAAAGGAAGAAGCAAGAAATTACTGGGTTATTGGTAACACAGCACGGGAAATGCATTAAAGATTGCAAAACCGGAGATTTGAAAATCAGTGCCATGGAGTTTAGTAAGAGGACAGGCAAGAAAAGGAGGCGTTACACACATCAAGCCATCAAAAAGTGCTGAGTACACGATGTGCGGTCGATTATGCACAAAAAAACTTCCACTGAAGTGCGTGACGGGCTGCTGCTCGCTATCTGCTCGAGACAGGGGACTGATGCAACGGGACCACAGCTATTCCCTTTCAGAGGTGCAATGCTGAGCAGAAACAAGACTTGTGCTATACCTGTCTGATGAAGTAAGCCTCCAGTAACAGAGCTTACAACAATATTTCCACCTAAAGGAAGAGCCATTGTCAGCAGATGCCAAGAAAAAAAAAAAAACCCAAACCACCACAGTGTGTGAAACGGACTGCCTGCATCTGAACCTGGGATGAGTTTTGGCTTTTCTTTCAAAGCCGTTTCCCTCCAGGCCCCTCGTGGAAGGAGCTCACGGGGGACCACGAGCCGTGCCTGACTGCCTGAGTGGATGGTTGTTTTCCTTAGGGGCTCGCTTTGGTGGTTCATTCCAGCAGAGTACAGTTGCATCTCTCTGGTTATTAATTTACTCTGTCTCGTAGGCAGGCCTCCAGTAAATACCTGATTTCTTGTTCGCGCATTCCTCCTTCCTCTGAGAACACAAAAAAGCAGCAGAGCGGGGAAAAAAAGAAAAGATTAAGCAAGGATAAGTTCAGTTAGAGGTAAGCATCTTTCGGAGGCCATGAACGCTCAAATGCAATGGCAGCTTCGCAAGGTCCAACCCAGGCCTTCGGGCTGTCCCCCCCTCCCTCCCAAACCCCATCTGGCACGCTGCACCCGAGCCTCGGCGGCCGGCAGAAGGAGCCTCTCCGATTTCTTCCCTCCCTGAGCCCGCGGGCGACG